TCCCTGTCTGTGCATGGTGCCCATGGTAAAAAAGGCCTGAGGTAAAAAAAAAAAAAAAAGGAGGTTTGGGTAGAAAAACACAAGAGCTTCACTGTCTGGCCGCTCTGGAGTGGGGGTGCTGCCTATGTAGGCAGATACAGCTGCAGTGATCAGGTGTCCTCAAGAGAATCCTTTCTTATTTATCAACGCACAACAGTTTTGATTTCATTTATGATTAATTAATTAATCTTTTGAATGACCAACAACTGGTGAGAGGTTAAGACAAACAGATGATATATAGGAGACTCACTTAGATTTTAGGCTAAACCCCTTTATTGATTGGTCTACAGCAGTACCATCATGGCAGCATAATACAATAGCACTTTATGTATGTATGGTATGTGCAAGGTATTTCAAAGCAAACTACCATAGTACATGATCAAAAACTTTTGGCATGATACCTTGGTACAAGTAAAACATTACCATGGTATTTGCCTTAAAAAAAAGCATGGTATTGTCATAATATTTGTCCAAAAGTAATTGTACAACGGTATTTTTGAAACAGATAATGATGTATGAAATGTAGTCAAATCAAAAGTGGGTTAACTTGGAGCAAAGATTACAAAACCTGATACTGTTTACTTTGCATGTCATCGTAAAACTGCTGCATGTTTCTATAACACACTAAAATTCGTTTTAATCACTTTTTTTTTTAAGCGAGACAACAATGATTTTTAATAAAAGGCCTAAAAGTAGGCCTATGTGTCTATCATATCAATACTATCATAAATGCGAATATGTGTAAATAATTATATTTTAAAATATAAATAGAATATTTTTGCCTAAAATACGATTATACAATTCTAATCTAAAATAAACACACAGAACATTATTTACCTTTTTGAATCTGTCTTCACCTGAGGAAAGGAAGATTTCTTCTATTATTATTATTATTTTCCCAGATTCTTCTTCTTCGTCTTCGAATTCAATTCTCAGTTTTAGGGGGGAAAAGCTCCAAAAATGAAGCCAGTGAAAGTAAAAGTGTTGGTAGTCTGTTGTCTGTTGTCTAAAGCTCTCTGGTCCACCTGCGCCTGCACGCAGTGAAGCACATCTGTATCAGTCACCAGAGTGTTCACCAGTGCGCGGTGCTGCTGGCCCCCTCCAACGGCTGTGAAAACAAACTTCCTTCAGAGCAACACATTTACTCCAACTAATCTAGAGACGTGCCTCGAGCGTCAAACCGGGTTTAATCCCATTGGACAAAAGCCGCAGAGGGCGGGTTATTCCGGTCACTTTAGTTTATCACATCGGATAAAATATTAAATTCACTTTTTTTTTTTTTAAATCAAAATTATATTAGTTAGGTTTATATTATCACAATATCACAATTAAGTGAACAAAGAACATTTTTAATTATTTATTTATTTTTACCTGTATTATTATTTATATAATACTGTATATTTTCCATTTCTTTTTTGTAGTTTATATTTGTTCAGTACCTTTATATTATATGTTGGAAATCAATAAAAAAAAATAAAAAAAAGGAAGCATGGGGGATTTAAACGTCCTCACAGTGTTTACCAAAGCATTACATAAAATATGAAGAACATAAACACAATATAATAAGCTCCGGCTTTAAACTAAAGTCGGCTGCTTCACTCGTAATCTGTAACATATGCAATAAACAAAAAATGTCAAAAAAAAAAAAACATCTCTAAAGAACAATAAAAATAACTAGTTTCTTATGGCTTATGATGATATTGTCCTTACTGATTGAGGTGCTAGGCCTATGTAGTTTTTTTTTATTTTTTCCCTTTCCTTTATGTTATTATATTTCAATGCAGTGCTGTTTTTTTTAAATTGCATTAAATAAAAAACATCAATTAGGGTATCAGTTACGGATGTATTTAATTATTTCTTAACACTAGAACATTATTTACCTGTTGATAAAATGATAAAAAATTGGCATGATATTAACAACAGGTCAAAAGTTATAATTATATATATAAAATATCAAACTGACTTCCAATAACATAACTCACAATCTCTCACACTCAGCATTAACTATCCTTAGCTCTTTATTTCTACACTGTTCGACTCATTTAATTGTCAATGTGTAAATAATCATGTTCTTGGTGTTTGAGTGTGGTCAGAAGGTGTTTGGGGTTGAGAAGTAGGCCTGTGCAGGTTTCAAAATACTTAATGGCCATTTATTTATTACATTTTTAAAGCGCTATATTTGCATAGGGCTGTTAAATAGCGCCGTCTTGCGTAGAATCAAAGAATGGCATGGGAATAAAACAAGGCGAGAAGTAAACATGGCGCAAGATTCTTATGCAACTTATTAAAAGTGCTGCTGAAATAAAATATTCACCATGGCCATCTGTGGACAAAAGAAGATGTCCTTGCTTTAGGTCTTAATTTTGTATAGTTATTTAGATGAATGTCAGAATGACAGCAGGATTTATTTGACGCACTAACAGTAAATCGACATCAATATTTCTCCCATATCTGGCTGTACATCTGGATTCTATGGGGCCAGTTGCATTGCCACTGTGTTAAGACAGTCTTAAGAACTAATTTGACCAACTAGCAGTTAACTTGGGGAAATCAGTTTTACTTTTTGGATTAATAATAAACCAATCTGACTTTAAAAAGTTATGACCAGCATTGAAAAAAAAAATAGATGACTAACTTGCCATTGAAATAGATGCTTTTCTAAGCAGTTTACGCATCGGGCTAAAGTTCTAACTTCACTAAATTTCACATTTGTGAAAGAATAAAAATTAGCCAAGAATAGAGTAAAAAAAAAAAAATCACAACTGATTCTTTGTTCTCATATAACTCTTAACATTTTTTAATAAGATGGGAATCCTGAAAATAGTATATTTTGATGTTGAGAGAGTAGAATGAGCTTAACAGCAACATGACCAAGATTTGTGTTTTACCATATATGGACAAAAAGCACTTAGAACCACTCCATTTTTTTAAGTAATAAATAATTTATCAGTCCATTAATTCACATCACTTCTGTGCCCTTGGCGGTACTAAGAGTGTCCCCTTTTAAACAAGGGGGAAAACAAACCTGCATGAAGAATGTGCCAGGTTTATTTGTTTTGGTTCTTAAATATTAATAAATACTCACAGAGCAAAGTTACTGGACCTGGGAGGAGTGTTGAGTAGAGACGTGCAGGGGGAAAAAACAGAAAGTGCTTTCCTTTTTAGTTTTTTAAATATTAATACTAATGGAATTTCCCCACACCAGAGCACTTTTGGAGTAAAACAGCTTTGTGGCAGAAAAATTTCAGTGTAAAACAGCTTTGTGGCAGAGAAAGTTTTTTTTTTTTTTTTTTTTACAGAAAGTGTGAACATATAGAGGAAGTTGGAATAAGATGAACCAACAAACTAAACTAACTGAAGTGTAATGTGTGTAAAAGTGCTTCGTCAGTTTTCTCCAAATCATCCAAACTCGTGACATGACTGGAACTTGTGTAGAAAGGGAGGAAACCCTTTAAAAATATATATATACACACAGTATATATATACACACGTGCATCTCAATAAATTAGAATGTCAACTTCTGTCTGTGTGCACTGAATTGATTTAATACACGAGTTTCACAATTTGAGTTGAATTACTGAAATAAATGAACTTTTCCACGACATTCTAATTTATTGAGATGCACCTGTATATATAATATCCACATTCACCACATGCAACCCTTCACCACATATAAAAAGATTGCCCACATGAAAATGCTGTCACGTGGTTTATTTTGTGTTTAGCAAAGAATCATCTTACCTTGTAGCTCATTTTACCCTAAAGTCTTCCTTATGTTTTTGAGAGAGAAAAATTAGGTCATTTGAATGAGAGGAAAAAGAGGCAGGGAGAAAAATAGTTATTTTAGAAACTTTCAATGTTTGAGCAATTTTTTGATCCATTAAATAAATCACATCAAAAGGCAGTAATTTATGAGGAAAGTAAACATTTTTCATTTCTTTAATAAATTTATCTATCATTTCTTAATGTACTGTAATATTACACCACTACTGGGCAGAGCCTGTGTGATTGTACAATCATTTGAGAAAGTGATCTTCATTCTAAATAGCTATTAATCTGCATTTAACTGTATTTTGATCATGTTTATGCATGCCGTGCGTGTCACTGAAGCGCGCACTGAAGTCAATTACTAAAACAAGACATAATACAAGTAAGAATATCAATGAGGGTGAGATGAGACGTGTTTATCCAGATCACAGCACCCACTCCTTTGAACTGGCTGAATATATCAACTTTCACAACTGCATACGTAAGAGCTAATGTACAGTTAGAGGGTCATTACCGCAAAGTTATTCGCTGTATTTTGCGTAACGTAACCTATAGGCCTACATTATCTGTCAGGATATCCAAAATGTAGATGAGTTAATTTCTTCATTGGAATAGATTTGGAGAAATTTAGCATTAGATCACTTGCTCAGCAGTGGATCCTCTGCAGTGAATGGGTGCCGTCAGAATGAGAGTCCAAACAGCTGATAAAAACATTGCAATAATCTACAATTAATCCACACAGCTCCAGTACATCAATTAATGTTTGTAATAAACGAATCCATCATTATCACAATAATTGTGGATTATTGTGATGTTTTTATCAGCTGTTTGGACTCTGACGGCACCCTTTCACTGCAGAGCATCCATTGGTGAGCAATTGATGTAAAGCTAAATTTCTCCAAATCTGTTCCGACGAAGAAACAAAGTACATTTCCATCTTGGATGGCCTGAGGGTGAGTACATTTTTAGCACATTTTCATTTTCAGGTGAACTACTTCTTCAATTTTCTTCCGCCAAGCCACAAAATAGTGAGTGAATGCACAAAGGTAGAGGAGTTCCAGAGGAAAAGACGGATGAGTGAACAATTAGAGAAATAAACGCACTTGTGTTACAGGCTTTATAGTGCCTTGTTCAGAGTGGCCTAAAAATACTGTCCATTTTCTTCAGCACAAAAGTTCTAAACATGGTTAACTGGGAGTAATACAGGAACTGTTATTCTTAGGTTGTGCGCCACATTCTGCGTCATTACTACTGTTGCGGTCTTAAAATGGACCAAGTTAAAGGTTAGTGGATTTGAACCAGTGAAGAATCCATATAAGTAGTAGATATCATGTCCAACGAAGACAAGATTGATAAAAATGCAATGTGACCAGGTAGTGGATTTGTTCATTTATTTCTTTATATTGGAGCCCAGCATTATGTAAATCCGCTACAGCTTGGTCAACAAGGCCAAAGACACACAGTAAAGGCAGTTTGCTGTTTTTCAAACCCGTAATGACAGTCACATCTTGATGCTTTCATTCTAAACTTAGAACTGGGAACCAAATTGGTTAATTCATGTAAGTGGTAATGATATCCAAGTGTGGGGTTCATCTCCTCTTGTTCTCTAACATTTTGTTTAGGTGAATTTTTTGACGTCTTTGATCAAGGAATGCATAAACTATGCTGCCACTCTGCTGTAACATTTTGTATATCCTCTACAAGCTATAAAAATCTAGGTAAAAAAAAAAGGAATCTCTGTAAAAAATGAGGAGAGAAAAGAAAGGAAAAACCATCCTATAGGTCAGCTCCATCGTCATTTGCATTGAAACGTGCGAGGGGCTGTACAGTATTTCCTTCTCATCACATCTCTTACAGATTGTCCAAGCTTTAAAGACCTTTGGAAGCTCTGCTGGAATCATATTCAATGTTGCCTGGCCATATATTGTTATTCAGCTCCTGTAAAACACTAAAGGAGCCTTGCACACCTGCTAGTGGAAAAAGTGTGCTGAATATTGTTTATTCCTATAGAGCGAATGCATATTATTCTATTAGACCTTGAATGTGGTCAGTGTAATATAAAGAAAATGTGTAATGTGGAAACATTTATCAGTTGAATTGGACTAGCTAAATTTTTTAGTCTGAAAAATATCCATTTGACAATAACATTTAATCTTTTTTGCTTGTTTTTAGGTATTTTTTTTAAATATCTGGCTAAATTTTGATATACCCGTCTTCCAAAGGCCCTTCCTCAGCTTCTGTGAGCTGGACAATACAACAACAATTCTATGAGCCTTTATTTAATGGATTAGAATACCAGCTTAGTACTTACTTCATACTGTGCAGTATATACCGTTTACAGTGC